TCGATGGCAAAATAAGGATTATAAAAAGAAAATAAAAAATGGCATGCAGTTTAGACAGAGTGAGCTCCAACCAGTAACATTAAACCTTAGCTACTAGAATGAAGAGAGCAGGCTCTACCTTGAGTGGAGGCAGCTCCATTGCTGTGCAAGACTAAAAAATAAAATAGACTTCTACAGAAGAACTTGTGCACATACTCCATCAGTAGCGCATCAGTTTCTCAAGGGGTGAGATAAAATTACAGAGGAGTGACACTGCAGAATGTGGAAGATGAGAAGCTTGAATGGGCAGTTTCTTAGCATAAAGTGACGAACTATTTCATTAAAGTTCGGATTTCCTATTGTTTTGTTGACTCAGCTGGCTCATAGGTACTTTTAGGAATCTTATTATTATTGTTATTATTATTTGTGTCGATAATAAAACTTCCAGATGGACCATTACCTCAATTTTATTTTCCTGTTTGGTATTGCAGGTGAAGAGCTACAAATTTGTTATATTGATGCAAGTATGGATCATGGTGCTCGGCAAACTATCTGTCTGAAGGGTTTGGTATTGAATGCCACTGTCTTAGGTGCTTATCTGTGCACATAGAAACTTAATCTAAATTAGATACTAATCCATAATTTTGCCTTAAGTTCTGATCTAATTGAGGAAAACTGGGACATATCTAGTCCGACGAAGTTTATTTCAAAGCCCTGTGAAATTTTTTACACATTTGATGATCTTTAGCCTTTATGTTTGAAGACTTCTACAAGCATCAGGTTATTCCAAAGTTTATTGTGAAAAATAAGTTGAGAAGACTTCAATGTAGATAATTTATTAGCAATCTATTTCGGGCAGTTTTTCCAAGGAAAAGGCTAAGAGAAATAGCCAGTAATATTTACTTGCCAATGTTCTTCTCCTAAGTGATTGTAGATTCTTGCTTTTCCGTATTCTGAAATATAAATTTTAAGGTTTTCTAGTGCTGTTAAGATTTTATTTATGAATATTTGAGCAACAAGGTATTTCCTATTTCGTAAACAATGAAATAAAGGGCAAATGAATAAATATGAAGTAAATATTTTATTTTATAGATGGTAGAGATCAATACATAAGGAGAGTGAGGACACAGCTACCATGTTAGACAAAAACATTGATCATGAAAACGACTTCAACAGAAAATGACATCAATAAATAAAACATAGCAAAAAAAAAAAAAAAAATGCTTCCCAAAAGTGAATATGGTAAGTAAGGGCACACAGAAACAGTTTGAAACGGGGAAATATTGTTCTAAGGTGGAGGAGGACGATATGCTCTTCGAAATACTTGAAAATCATCATTAAGATTATCAATTGTCACTTGCATTTCGTCAAGCTGAGCTTGTTGACTGTCAAGTTGATCTTGTTGTTTTTCAAGAGTGGCTTGATTTTGACGAGTGCCTTTGAGAATTTCCAACAAAAGATCACAATTGGTGCAATTCGAAGTTGGAACTTCCTCATCTTCAGTACTGCCATCACTTTCTGGTTCTTCTTCATCCCCATCATCAACATCCTCAATCTCTTCTCCTCTAGCTCTAGCCTCTTCGAACCTTCGTTGCCTAGGATAAAACCACTCACCGTTTGAGTCCCTTTTTAGCCCCATTTGGTCAAGATTGAAAGCATCGAGTATATCTCTTGGGCCTTGTTTAGCTGATTCACTTTTATCAAGTGGAACATGTTTATCCATGAAGATGTGAGTGAGAACCATGGCATAATGGAGGGGACTTTTTTTCTTTATCTTGCATGCCAACATGTGATGAAAAATGATGTATGCCAAATCAAATACTTTTCCATTCAACACGCACAAAATCAAAAAGATTTCCATGTGAGAGACTTTTGAGCGACTGCCGGTTTTAGGAAGAATGGAGTATGCAATGATTTTGTGGATCAAGTGAGCTTCCATGGTTAATTGTTTGGATTTGACCTCTTTGGTATTGGTGGTGCGGGAATCATAGCTCATTTGACGAATTGCTACTAGTTTGTCAAAACCTTCCCCATTGTACCATCTTTGTGGTAAGTAGAATTGAATACCATCCTTAAGATGAAGAATTCTGGCAATGCTATTAACATCAAGATGGAATACTATTCCTGCCACATAGCATTGAAGTCTCTCTACACCGGGCATTTTCTCAAGGTGGGTGTAGAATAATTGCACAAGTCTAGGATAATACTTCTTGTTCATCCCAACAAATGCACCAAGGCCAATAACATCGAAGAGTTTATAGGTGTTGAGGTTGAGATCGTCACAAATTGTGTGTGACAAAACTTTTCCTTTGGCCACTTCCCTAAGATTGAAATTTTTTTCATATAACTTCTTGTATGTAGGAGTTCGATACAACATTGTTACAGAGATTTGAATGGGAGGATTTTCTTCACTAGGGCCGGATTCATGATCATGGGTACGTCTAGTATTCCTATTTTGGCCACGAGGAGGATTTTTTCTACATGAAGAGGAAGCCATAGAATAGAAATTTTGAATGCTCAAGAACCATTCAATGGAAATAAAATTTAAAATTCCAAGAATTTGTGCAAATAAAAACTAATTTAATTTGCACATCCAGTCAAGTTATGAGTGCTAAGAAACTTCATTCTAGAGACCCCAGAACAGTTAATGAGCATCAAGGTCAAGGTTTTGGAATTGATAAAATCAGCTTTAAAATGTCAACCCAAGATGGAACTTGAATGGAATCATAGTAAAATTTGCAATTTAGAGCATAGATTCACAAAGCCAACCCAATTTGTGTTCAAATCAGTATATGATATTTCTAGGGTTTTGAGGGTTTGACAGAGATGAGATTGATAAAGATACAAAGAGATATTCAAGCTTAAATAATGATGACAATGAACATCAAGAAAGCATGAATTTAAGAGAATGAGCAATGAAATCTTACCAAAGATGATGAATTTAGTATTTGTGAAGAAGAAAGAGAAATGGCGAATTTAGACGAAATAAGCATGATGAAGGAGCAAAAGAAACAAATTAAGAGCAGGAATATATATAAATTGAAAAGGGAATTTCATGGATTTAACATACCAGTGAAGGAACCCATCAAATGGAAGAATTCGCCCAAAGCAAGATGAAGTCTCCTAAGTCAGTTTGCTCTCTGGAATGTTTCAGTAATGACCCCAAATTAGGAAATGCAAAGATATAATGGGAATAGGACACTTGAGGGGAGCCGGCTCAACCATGATCATGGAGCCGGCTCTTATGGGTTTTTGAGAGATGCCGAGTGAAATAGGAAGGATGTAGATGAGTGGAGCCGGCCCTTATGTTCATGGAGCCGGCTCCACATTTTATTTGGAGCCGCCTCAAGTAGTTGCTGGAGCCAGCTCTCTTGGGCATTTGAGAAATCCCGAGAGTTGGTGTATGCAGGCCAATAAAGGAGCCGGCTCAACCTATTTCTAGAGGCGACTCTTCTTGGAGATGCCGAGAGCATGGATTTAGGAAATTCAAGGAGCCGGCTCTTCCTTTTTGTGGAGCCGGCTCTATTGTCTGCAGTGGAAGCTCCCGAGAGTATAGACATTGAGAATTTTTACAATTAGTCTGTTATGCATTTCTAAAGATGCAAATTAAACATCAGTGTTAACACTCAGTTTATTATTATACAGTTAAATTCAAATATTGTTGTTTCCTTTCTTTTCTATGTCATTTCAGTTTTTTTCTTCTGCAAATGAAACCATTTGAAATCTCCATTCTCATTTGTTAATATTTTACCAGATTTTGCAGTTAGAGCTTTATATGTGATATCATCATCTTCTGAATTTAATGTTGGGAGGTGATAAATGTACTCTAGCTAATACACTTTACTTTAATATGAAATTACAGCAATAACATTTTAATTAATCAGAGTATAAAGAATATTTTTGTCATTTAATTTTAGTGAGGAAAAAAAAAATTAGAGTGCATCCATCATTTTTTTCATTAGATTGATCAAGTTCAGGGTTGGATAATGTAGTCCTCATGTGGTTCTCACATGATGCAGTTCTTACTATGATTTGGCTGTTGCGGCCTGTATGGTAGTTGAAGGGAGGTGACTAATTAATGTGACAGTAGTTTGGTAGATGATCTTGATCTTGACACAGCAGTCACATGCACTTAGGCACTTACTCTATGGCATTATGTTCTGTGATCATTCCAATTTACCTTCAAAGCAGACAAAATCTATCCTCTTGGAGTGGTTTTGTAAAAATATCAGCCAATTGTTTTTTTGTATTAATAAATGCAAGTTCAATGTAACATGATCCCTAAAAAAATTGTACCTAATTTAAGAGCAGTAGAAGATTTATTAAATTTTGCTAACAATAACATAATGGAGTAGGTCAATCTGAAATTTAAGTATAGCATCAATATATTGAATTGATTTGTCATAATTGGGGTTGACAACCTTAAGTATAGCATCAATATATTGAATCTGAAATTTAAGTATAGCATCAATATATTGAATCTGAAATTTAAGTATAGAATCAGTAGTATATGCTGTAATTCGAAGAATAGAAATCTATTTCACTCTGCTTTGATAATCCACTAACACAACTCCAATATCAAAGGAAAATGAATGCTACGGAACTAACAAAAGAAACCTCAATAAACACAAAAATCACCTGCTAAATAGAACCAAGAGACCAAAAGTATAATCATTATAAAATTCCATAACCAAAAGAGTAGATAATAATAATTACATCATAGTCAAGTTCCTAGATTTACATCATTGTAAAAGGGTTCCAATACATACTTTTTCCATAATATAGCAACACAAAGTTTCACCAACAAAAAAGGAATTCATTGCATTCCCAGAAGTGTTTCTTAAAAAAGGAACCTATACCCAACAAAAAGAAAGACTACCCATCATCAATCAGCATCATGTTGAACCATACATCATTTTCTCCAAAATATTCTTACGTTTTGCAATTGGAACACCAAGGAATATCCTCGTTTGATCAAGATAGTTAGCGAGATAAAAGTAAGCATCATCAATTAAAAATGGCTAAAGTCCAATTGATTCCAGCTCATTATAGATTTCCTCCTCCAAATGCACCTTACGATTATATTGACCATAAAAAGCATTTCCCTCTTTAATAGATTCTGCAACAGAGGAAATTGCATTTGCTATGTCTTGGGTATCATTAGAGACACTACGTGAAGACCGTTTCCTCTTTCCTTTTGCACTTGAAGATGCAATAGAAGTTGCCTTAGGGGACATTGTCCTTTCAATCTCATCAGCCACATGCTCAACATTTTCCAAAGTCACCTCATTTTCTGCTACTAGCTGATCAATACCATCAATACTTCCCATTAACTCGTCATTGGTTGAGCTAGCCCATTGAAAACGTTTCTCCTTCGCAGTTGCAGCCTCATCACCCGTCGCTCTATCTTTTGCAAACAACTCTAGCAACTTATCATAGTTGTTAATATGTGTAGTTCTCCATTTCTCCGCTTGCGGTTTTGCCTATTACAAGCATATAAAAATATATATATATGCTAAACATTTCATAGTGTTTGAAGTAAAAATAACTCCAAAATTGAAGGTACATGAAAGAAGAAATTAAAACTATCATAGATTAAACATTCTTTGGGTAAAGCAACGACACTAGAACAACATAGAAAAAACATTTCAAGAGTTTCCATATGAATTAGGCCTTAAACATACTTTAAAAGTAAAAAATAACTCTAAATTAATAATAAAAAAACTAGTACCTCAATCAATAAATTCCAAACCTCTGGCTCCGCACTCCACATCTTTGTCTCACGACTCCAAGCAAATCCGCTCAATCCATTCTTAAACAGGTCATACCACTCATTGAAATGAGTCTTTATAGTCTTCAATCGATTCTTAATCCTATCTTTGGTAAAATCCATTTCAAGTTTAGCACACAATTCTTTAACCATTTCATCATATGCTTTACTAGTAAAAGTTCCATCAACCCTATTCCCTTTAATATGTTGGTAATACAGCACATCAATGAATGCATCTTCCATTTGTTGCGTCCAAACAAACCTATCTTTCTTGCTCCCTTCATTTTTGTTTGTTGTATTACTCATTTTCTTATCTACATAACAAATTAGCAAATGAGTAGAATCCAATGTAAAATTTCAAAATAGAGTGTGACCAACAAAAATAATAATAATAATAATAACATCATGACAAACAAATTAACATGAGTAATATAAGATATCGACTATGCTTTTTCTTCTTTAACAATATATCATCAAATAAAACTTGAGCTACCAATAAAGTCTTAGTAAAGACCAAGTGCTTGTCATAAAAGAAAATAAATAAAACTAAGGTTTTAAGTATTTATCAAACAAGCAAAAGATTTAGACTTATAACACACATAACATTAGTCACATTTGATTTGCTACATAGTCATTCCACATGTTCATTGCAATGATGTCCCTTATATGTTCTCCTTCAGCAATATCCCTTGGAGTTCGATCATCATCTGCATCTTCATCTTCATCTTCAACTTGGTTTAAGAGCTCCCGATCTACTTCATCAATATGTATTTCATCAGGATCAACACCCATTAAATAATTATGCAGAATGCAACATGCAAGGATAATCTCCTGGTGATTACCCTGTAGCTGTCCCTGTCCAGTCTGAGGTGCTCCAGTCTGCTGAGTGGAAACTCCCTCTCTCTGAACTTCTGAATTACCCTTGTGCTTCTTCCAAGGTTGCTGGCCCTGGAATCTGCCCTTGTCATTCTGTCGGTTCCCATTATCATTCACTTTCTCAGCTGGCTGATTAGCAAAGTCTTTGCCACCCTGCTTCTCAGCCCTAGTCTGTCTGAAATCCTCATTCAGCTGATAAAGCTGCAAAGCTGCGTCCACCACTTGAGCATAAGTAGTGTAGGCTGGACTACCAGTAATAGCTCTCTTGATAGACCACATCAATCCCTTGACGAAACTGTTGCGCTTCTTCTCCTCTGTATCCACCTCCTCGGGAGAGATAAGCGTGTGAACTGCTGTTCATACTCCGCCACTGTCATAGTCCCCTGCTGCAGATTAAGAAACTCAGTCTTCATGGCTGCCCTAACTGCATAAGGAAAATACTTTTCTTCAAAGTGTGCACTGAACTCATCATAAGTCAATGCCATCCTCTCCTCTATGGTGGTAACTGACTCCCACCACTGCAGTGCATCCCCAACTAGCTTGAAGGTAGCAAGCATCTGCTTCTGAACCTCCGTGCACTGAACCAAGCAAAGATGTCGCTCAATGTCCTGTTTCCACTGGTGAGCTGCTCTCGCATCGGTGGAGCCCGTGAACTCAGGTGGACTCCCTTTTGTGAAAGAACTCCTGGCCTTCTCCCAAGTATCAGTCTGAATAACCGGTGCTGGTAACGGTGCCGGCTGTACCTGAGGCTGATTCTGAAGTGCAGCTGCTACCCCAGCTTCTATAGCCCGAGCAATGAGGTCATTGATGTGAGGAGGATACTCTGGATCCCTGCCCTGAGCCGGAGCCTGCTGAACTTCCTCTTGCTCCTCCTGAAGCTGACCCTCATCCTGAAACCCAAGTCGTTGCTGCTCTTCCTCCATATGCTGACGTTGCAGGTGTTCTTGCTGCCTACGTGCAGCTCTCCTCTGTCGATGGTTCAGATTCTGTCCTCTTCCAGTGTTAACCATGCTGTTAACATAGAACGACAGACATCAGTATGATTTTAACGGACCGTAAAGGAATACAATGTATCCTAAACTTAAGCTTTAAAGAAAAGAGTACACAAAGCGGAATTCACATAAGGAAAGACACCCTAGGGACACTTGAACCTGGAGTGCTCTGATACCAACTGTAATACCCCCTAAATTCGAAACACAGGTTGATCAAGTCCGCGCACAAAATTAGGGAATATCAAAACAATTAAAGTATTTAAACAAGCACGGATTACAAAATGAAATAAAGAATAAAATAAAACGCTGAAGAAATTCAATTAATAATAAATCCATTCATAACTTCCAAATGGTTACAACTCGGGAATCCCGTAACTCAAGGACCCCTTAACCAAAAGTTACTATTTAGAATTTTAACCAAATAAATACTAATATCAACTGAAACAAAACTAATATCCTACTCTTAAATAAATAGAAAGAATGGATAAGTCCTCCAGCTGCGGATTGACGACGGCCGTTCCAATACGCCAAACTAAATGTAGTGAATGTGTGATTCAAGAAAAGCCTTTTATGTCAAATTTAAATTTATAAAAACCACTACCAACACCACTACTAACGTAGCAAGAGTGAGTAGGGATCGTCCCAAGGTATTATACGTGTTGGAATTTCAACTTCGACTCTAGCGTACCAAATGATTGCAAAAGAGAATTGGGTTGGTTGATTACTTCTAGAAAAGAATTAATTAAAATGCAATAAAATAAAACTAAGTAGAGATAGGGATTTAAGAGATGAGAAGAGAGGACTTAGGGTGTCGGAATCACCATTAAGCTCATGTAATTAACCACTTGCTTTCCATTAATGGGGAATACATTGTTGTGAACAAAATTGGTTCGACTAGCAAAGGTGACTCAACAAGTGTATAATGTCTAAACAACATGTGAAAGGCTACAATATATCTATTGAAAGAGGAATATATTGTCTAGACAACATGTGAAGAGAACAAAATATCAAATCAAGTCATTAAACCTTTCATTAAGCTCATAGTCTAAATAATTCACAAGGATGACTTAGTTAAACATATATTGTCTAAACATCATGTGAGAGGCCACAATATATCTATTGGGAGAGGAGTATATTGTCTAAACACATGTGAAAGATACAATATATCATAACAAGTCATTAATCCTTCATTAAGCTCAAAATTCCATTACACCATAATATTAGAGCATATGCTTCTTGCATTCAAAAACATGGAACACCAAAGAACAAGCACGAATTGTCTCCCCATCTAACACTACACTACAACTACACTACTAGCATGAAAATAAACTAAAGGAGAGGCACAATCCATCAAGGAATAAGTATGAACCATTAAGAGACATAACAAGAGCATTCCATTAAGCACTAATGTCTAGCCATCACTAGATTCTTAATTAACCACACATAGACATGCAATTAATATAGAAAAACTAGTGTAGAGATCAATTCCCCAAATAATCAAACATAAGACAACATGTAATTAAAATAGAGAATCAATGGAAGAATTAACCCATATGAATCATGTGAGACATAATTCCTAATTTAATCACACATAGACATGTAAATAAACTAGAGAATTAATAGGAAGAATTAGACTATGGAAATCATAGAAATATACCAAGATTCATGAAATTCACAAGGCTAGAACACTAATCACAACAATATATATATAAATCCCCAAAAATAGAAATACAAGGGTTTAGATTACACAAGACTTAGGGCTCATCCAAGCCCTAAGTGTAGATCTAGTCAATCATGGAGGAGGTGGATGTAGTTATGGAATCAAGCTCCAAACATGGCTCCATCTTCTTCTTCCTCTTCTTCTTCTTCTTCTTTGAAGCTCTAGAGATGGAGAGATAGTAGATTTAGAGATGTGTTCTTGAGATGTGCCTCCACTTCTCTCTTTTCTTCTAACCCTAATCTCTATCTTTTCTAGAGAAATAAAAATTACAATGTAAAAAATAAAATGATAAAAAGCCTAAAGAATCCTCTTTTACAAATGGGTTGCTTCCCTTTATATAGAAGGTTCTTTTCTTAGTCACTAAGTCTAGAATATATGCCCAAAAATATATAATCCCGCAACTTTTTGGTAGGTGAACTTTTGGGCGCGCACGGAAAAAGTGAGAGCTTGCTGCCAGCATGTCCAGTTCGATCGATCCAACTTATTTTCGATCGATCCAACTTATTTTTCGATTGATCCAACTTTTCTGATCGATCCAACTAAAAGTTCGATCGATCCAACTTTTCTGCGATCCATCCAACTTTTCAGCTTTTCAGTATCGGCTTCTTTTTGCTCCAAATCAGCCTCTTTTTGCTCCGGATCATCGCTAAGACTTAGTTTGACTCCAAAAAGGCCTTAAGAACTCATTTTTAGCCTATTTTAACATTATTGACCTGAAATAGATAAAAACACAAATAAGTACTAAAACGGATAAATAAGATAGATAAAGGTCTTAGAATACTCAAGCTTAAGGGGTTTAAATGTGTACTTTTCAGCTCTCATCGCACCCCCAAACTTAAATATTGCTAGTCCCTAGCAATGAACTACAAAGTAAAGAAAAGAAATGAACAACTAAACAACTATGAACTAGAAAGTAATAAAATGGTAGCGCCATTTTCGTAGGAAACACAATTGCATTTAGCATATGCAACAAGCCTTTTAAACCCCTAAGTTACCCCTAGTGGACGAGTGAAGTCTCGTGAGGGTTTCCAGAAATGGCACCCACAAACATTAAGCTCATTCTTTCAAAAGAGGCACCAATATTGCAAACAAGCATTGGGAGAAAACTACCTCAAGTATGCAATTTTTCAACCATTTCCAAGCAATCTTCCAAAATCTCAACATCAAACAAGCAAGTATGGTCCTCCACACATCAAGAAAATGATCATGAAAATCGAAACAAGTCTAGAATCCTTTTTTGAGTGGTCTGGCATCAAGTGTGTTGCTATCTTAGCCAACTAAGGAATTAATCACATCCTTACCCTCAAACTAGCATACAAATCTAGTCCCAATCATCAAGACAAAAAGTGGACCTTTTATTAAAGCTTTATTGTTTTAGGTGCGCTTATTCTTTTCACTCAAATTTTTTTTTTTTTTTTTTTTTTTAGGATCAAAGATGGAAGTATCGTGTAATGTGTTGATCTCTTAAGCTTTCTAGAAGATTCATGTAGCAAGCGTTAGGTCAATGACTCCCAAACCAGATGGCTTTAGGGCATTTGGTGTTAAGACACCCCTACGGACTTACAAACTCAAATCAACTAGGCTACAAATCAAGACAACAACCATCTAATCATTTCCCACTTCTCGCCTTTTGGGAGAAGTCCTCACTTTTATTGCTTTTGCAACTTTTTTTTTTTTTTTTTTTTTCAATTATTAACCTAGAGTTTAGGCCCTCCACC